GATGACATTGGCAGGCTGTATGTCATGTGGATCACGTCGAGTGGAGGGAAATCCTGTCTTAAGGCTATTACTTTGGTTGAGTTGCCTTTTTAGATGTACTGCTGTAGCCGACCATCTTGTACCAATTCCTCCAGGTGATCCTTCAATGCGTAACAACTCTCAGTATCATGGCCGTGATCGTTGTGATACTCGCACTGCCTATCCCGTTTTCTTGTTTCGGGACGTCCCACCATTTTGGACGGCCATTTGAAGAACGAAAGGTGTTGGACTTTGGACATAACCGTGCTGATCGGCTCTGACAACTCTGTGAATTTCTTGTCCGCGTGCCTGCCATCAACTTGCAGTTGTTCATTTGCTCGATGGGGGCATTGGTCGCTTGATCGACAAGAATTCCGTCTCTTGTCTCGTTTAGCTCGATGCCGCGGTTCAGGGCTCTGAGGTGGTATGGAATTGATCAGCTGAGCAATTTCAGAAGGGGCCGTCTTGTTGGCCGCATTTTCGGCTTTACCCTGCAAGGCGTCTTCCTCTACTTTGTAGTATTCCTCAACTTTCTTTATCAAAGACCAGACTGTTTTGGGGGGTCTTCTAGTCAAGGAGCTGCGGAGAGCACTCGTTGCAAGCGTCATCAACAAGATTAAAGCACTCCCAGTAGCGTGCCGAATACGCTCTTAGTGTTTCTCCTGGCTGGATCTGCATTGCCCAAAGAGAGTCGGCTTGTTTCGGTTAGACCTCGTTGGTGATGAATCTGGCCCTGAAGGATTTTTATAATTGATGGAAGCTCTTGATCGAAGCCGGCTCCAGTTTGTAATACCACCTGACAGCCAATGGTCCCAAACTGCCGGGAAATATTCAGCACATGAGGGCCTCGTCGTCTGTATGCAATGTCATGGCTTGCTTGTAGTGACAGATGCGATCGGTGGGGTCTGATTTTCCATTATAGAGAGTGAACCACGGAGCTTTGAACTTTTTGGGCAGAACCGCCCTTGCGATTCGTCGTACAAAGGGATCATGCTGGTCATCTTCATCTAAACTGTTTCTTCTTTGCTTATGCCTTATACGTACACTCTCTTCAGAAGAACTGGCAGCATCGAGTCGACCCTTCTTTTTGGGCTCCGGGGATAATGAGTCAGAGTCACTGTCAGTGTCACACCTCTAACCCGCCCCTAAAGGTTTTGGGCATGACCTAATTAGAAACAGACACTTAACCTGCTATAAATGATATTTGGAGCCTGAATGGAAGCGTTTATAATAAAATAACATGCAGACACATCCATTGAGCGACTACCAAAACGCCAGGACCACGTCTCGAAATTAAGCATAAAGTGAATATGCACCCGGGATTAAGTTGCATACACATTTACAAGTCCAACCCAGAGTTTGGTCATACAAAATATTAGATACAAACAACTCTGGCCAACAAAATATAGGTACAAAATGACTAAGACTAGCAAAACCGCCCTAGCATGCAAAGGGCTTCTCCAAGTGCCTGGTTGTCCTTAAGCTAACAAAAGATGGATGATGATGATGTAAGGACTGACCGCCAAGCTGATTTCCTACAGAATCAAATAAAATTACAGAGTGAGACAAGCTCAGTGAATAATAATACTTGAGTAGTTTAATAGCCAATTTTACCACAATGCATAACACAAAAGTGAGTTTGATATGGTTTTACTTTCAGAATTATCAGAACGGCCTGTTGGCCCAGAATTATCAGAACGACCTTTCGGCCCAGAATTATCAGAACAGCCTTTCGGCCCAAAACATACAAATATGTATGTATATCTTTTCAACATTTCATTTCCATTGAGCTCTAATCAATACAAAAGAAAATGTCGTAGTTGACGGAAAACAGAAAATTATTAACAGACATTAGCGATAAATAAATGTACGTTCAATGTACTATTACTCACAGCGTTGTGATGGCGTGCTAGTTCCTTCCGGAGTGTGCCCTGCACACAATCATAACTTGTAAATTAGTTCTCTTTCTTCTTAAATCATTGAGGAACTATTCCCTGTGCCATTACACTTCACATGGATTTATAGCCATCTTAAAATCATCAGAAAAATATTCTAAAAATATCAGAGAGTCAAGCACGCAAAACTGAACAAACACATTTTTTTTTTGAAAATAAGTCCCCCGCTCGAGCGCCACTTTGGCCGCTCGAGCGGACTGTACAAGTCACAAAACTGCTGGGAGGTCGATTTTCCCGCTCGAGCGGTCATGTCCACCCCTCGAGCGGTCGTGGCCCAGATTTGGGACAGCTCGACTTCAACTCAAAATTTAGCAACAACATCTCATTTTACATGCAATCCAAGGTTAGATTAATGCAATATTTCAACCTAACATTACCATAACATAGATTCCACCTTGAACATAACAAATTAAACTAGATTAGAAGCTTCAACAAGCCATCCCTTTCTCAAATTCCATTCTTGTATTCAAGTTCTTCATGTTCAAAGAAAACATAACACATGATACTAACATAATTCCATGGGATGATGATATAGAACCAAAGGTTGAAGTATAATTTCATACAACACCCAAATAAAGTGTCAAAGTAACCAATTGATGAGAAACCCTCATAAATCAAACATGCATCATACATGAATCAAAGATAAACATCAATTATAACCTTCCCAAAATTCTCATTATTTTGGGTTTACATAATTATTTCTCATTCAAACTCATAATTGAATATTCTCATGAAATAACAAGGAAATAAGATGTAGATTTCCCCCCCCCCCATAACTCAATTTGGTTATTTAACATAGATTACCACATAAACCCTCAACATCTACCTTAATTTACCAAACACAAAGAGAATTCCCAAACATAATCAAGAGAGAGAGTGGCTAGATAAAGTAAATTTTCATACCTTGAGTTTAATCTAAGCAATCTTCACAAAATTCCCCAAATCCTTCACTTGAAGGCCTTCTCTCCAATTCCCACGAAATTCCCTCTTCTAAGTTGCACACAGGAGGTATTTTCAGGTCAAAGACATCTTAAAGCTTGATATAGATATTTATGTTTATAATAAGACAAAATTTAATCGTTTAAGCATCCTAAATTGAAATTTCATAGAAAATCCCATTAGAGCCTAAAAATTATGCAGATTCCAAATATCAAATCAATTTCTGAAAATTAAGCCTCTAAGGCGCCCAATTTCAGATTCAAATAGTCTATTGTGACAGATAATTTCCTTATTCAACAGATAGGAATCCATATGGCTAAGTTTCATGTAATTCAATGTACTTTCACATAGAATTTCATAATATGCATTCGAAAACATAGAATAGCGGGCTGAAAAGATACCAGAGTCATGTACGTGGGTCGGGCTATTACACTCTCCCCCCCTTAATTAAGTTTGGTCCTCCAAACTTGTTTTACCTTAGGACGAAAATAGATGCCGATATTGGTGTTGTATTTCCTCTTCCTTTTCCCAAGTTGCCTCGGTTCCGTAGTGCTCTTGCCACTCCACTTTCACCATTGGAATTTCCCGGTTCCGTAACTATTTCACCTGACGGTCCAAAATTCGAATTGGTTTTTCCTCGTATGTTAACTTATCAGTCAGCATAATTTGGTGATAATCGATAATATGTGATGGATCCGGGAGGTATCCTCGGAGCATAGCAACGTGAAACACATTATGAATTTGGCTCATTTGTGGCGGAAGGGCAACTCGGTAGGCTATTGGACCCACTTTTTCTAAGATCTGAAAAGGACCAACATATCGGGGTGTCAGCTTACCCCTTTTTCCAAATCTTGGGTGTCCTTTCATTGGGGTAACTTTCACGAAAATATGACTGTCCACGTCAAACTCCAAATTTTTGCGCCGGTTATCCGCATGACTCTTCTGTCTACTCTGAGCAGTTTTCAATCTTTCTCGAATAATTCTAACCTTTTCGGTTGTCAACTGGACAATCTCTGGCCCTAACAAGGGCCTATCTCCAACCTCAACCCAACACACGGGAGAACGACACGGTCTTCCATACAGAGCTTCATAGGGTGCCATTTCAATACTCGAATGGTAGCTGTTATTATATGCAAACTCAACCAACGGCAGATGAGTTTCCTAACTTTCCTGAAAATCCAACGCACACATTCGAAGCATATCTTCTAGCATCTGAATTGTCCTCTCGGATTGCCCATCTGTTTGAGGGTGGAAAGCTGTGCTAAAATTTAATTCTGTACCCATTGCATTCTGTAGACCTTGCTAGAACCTCGAAACAAATTTGGGGTCTCTATCTGACACAATTGAAACCGGAACACCGTGAAGCCTTACAATCTCATTCACATAGATCACAGCAAGTTTATCGGCATTATACTGGGTCTTCACAGGCAGGAAGTGGGCGGACTTTGTTAATCGGTTGACAATGACCCATATAGAATTCATCCCTCGGGGTGTTCGTGGTAAGCTTGCAACAAAATCCATGGTCAGATGTTCCCATTTCCACTCCGGAATTGGAAGGGGTTGTAATAATCCTGCGGGTCTCTGATGCTCTGCTTTTACCTGCTGACATTGCAAACACTTAGAAACAAACTCTGCGATTTCTTTCTTCATACTTGGCCACCAGAAATTTCTCTTCAAATCCCGGTACATTTTAGTACTTCCTAGATGCATTGAAACTTTTGAGGCATGTGCTTCTTCCATCAATTTCCGTTTAAGTTTTAACACATTAGGAACACATATTCGGTTTTGAAATTTAAGCACAGAATCTGTCAAGGTGAACCCCAGTTTCGGTTTTGTCTCCATTTCATCACGTATCCTCTTTAAAGCTCCATCCTCCATTTGGCGTATTTTAATCTCCTCAAGCAATGTCGGTTGGGCCATGATTGTTGCCATTGTTGCTCCTTGACCATGCATCGCCAAGTCGACCCCCATCTTATTAAGCTTATTCATCAACTCCTTTTCCCCTGTCAATAAACTTGCCAAATCCCCCATATTTCTCCGACTAAGTGCGTCTGCCACCGTGTTGGCTTTACCAGGATGATAGTGGATTTATAAATCATAATCTTTAATAAGCTCCAACCATCGCCGCTGACGCATATTCAACTCCTTTTGGGTAAAAATGTATTTGAGACTTTTATGGTCGGTATAAATGTCGCAAGTAGTTCCATACAGATAATGCCGCCAAATCTTTAAAGCAAAAACGACTGCAGCTAGCTCAAGATCATGCGTGGGGTAACCCTTCTCATGGGACTTAAGTTGGCGAGAAGCATAAGCAATAACTCTTCCACTTTGCATAAGCACACAACCAAGTCCTTTATGTGATGCATCGCTGTAAATCACAAATCCCTCAGTACCAGACGGTAGGGCAAGGACCGGGGCTGTAGTCAACTTCATTTTTAATTCTTGGAAGGCAGATTTCCGCAGTTCCGTCCATTCAAATGCAACTCCCTTTTTAGTCAACTGTGTGAGTGGTACAACAATCTTAGAAAAATCCTGAACAAATCTCCGATAATAGCCGGCTAATCCCACGAAATTACGCACTTCAGTCACTCGTCAGGGTTGGCCAGTTTACAATCGCCTCAATCTTGTTTGGATCAACAGAGACTCCTTCCTTAGTTATAACATGCCCCAGAAATGTCACTTCATGTAACCAAAATTCACACTTCTTTAGCTTCGCGTACAACTTCTTTTCTCGGAGGGTTTGAAGGATTAAGTGAAGATGATTTTCATGGACCTCTACATTCTTTGAGTAAATAAAGATGTCGTCAATAAAGACCACTACAAACTCATCCAGATAAGGTTTGAAGACACGGTTCATCAGATCCATAAATGATGTTGGTGCGTTTGTAACTCCAAAGGGCATAACCAAAAATTCATAATGACCGTACCGGGTTCGGAAAGCTGTCTTCTCAACATCATCAGCTTTAACTTTCAATTGGTGGTATCCGGACCGTAAGTCAATCTTAGAAAAGACCTGTGATCCTTGTAATTGATCAAATAAATCGTCGATCCGTGGTAAGGGATACTTATTCTTGATTGTTACTTTATTAAGCTCCCCGTAATCTATACATAATCGGAGTGTTCCATCTTTCTTTTTCACAAACAGGACTGGTGCACCCCATGGAGAAACACTCGGGGCGGATAAACCCTTTATCCAATAAATCTTGCAATTGAATCTTCATTTCCCTTATTTCAGCTGGCGCCATTCGATACGGGGTTTTAGAGATGGGTTGGACTCCCGGTAGCACTTCAATCGTGAATTCGATTTCACGGTCCACTAATTCTCCTGGCAATTCTTTCGGAAAGACGTCCGGAAATTCACAGACAACTGGAATCGCACCAATATTCTCATTCGTTGTTATCCCTTCCAAAACACTACATAAGTACCCTTGACACCCTTTCTGAATTAATTTACAAGCCCTAGCCGCATAAATCACATACGGTGGAGAAGTCACTCCTTGCCCCTGAAAAGTAGATTCTGATTGCCCTGGAGGGTGGAATTTGATTTACTTTGTCAGACAGTCGATAGTGGCACTATATTCACCCAACCAATCCATCCCCAGAATAATATCAAAAGAAGTCATATCAAGTGGTAATAGATTAGCATATACACGGATATCTCCAATGAGAAGTTCACAAGCAGAATAGACAGAAGTACAGATCATGGAATTTCCCATAGGTGAAGATACACACAACATATAAGTCAATTCTTCTTCAGGTTTATCTAGGTTTTTCGCAAATAATTTTGACACAAAGGAACAGGTAGAACCAGAATCAAATAAGACGTAAGCAGAATGACCATGAACCATAAATGCACCTGACACCACTGTTGTTGCATTCTGTACATCTCCCGGAACCAACGCAAATACCCTACCTTGCCTCGTAGTATCCTTATTGTTAGCAGGTTTAGCAGCTGACTTGGCATTAGGAGCCGGTGTGGACCCTGCTGAGCTTGTGGCGGCCTTATTACCAGTTTGTTGATTCTTTTGCGGACAGTCTTTTATCAAATGCCCCATTTTGCCACATCGAAAACATGCCCCAGACAATCGGTGACAAATCCCTCGATGCCTCCATCCACATTCTGGACACACAGGAGCTGAATTTTGAGAAGAGGTAGTAGTGTTCGAGGTCCTTGAATTTTGCTTCTTATTTGGTGGAGTAGTTGACCCCTTGAACCATTGGTTGCTCTGCCTTTTCCTTTCCATTCAGAAATCCGAGTCTGAGCAGCAATATTTCCTTCTGCTATAACAGCCCTTTCTAACACATCAACGTAGGTAGGTAACTTCAACACATTAACTCGGTCCAGAATAGTACTCCACAATCCTCCCTCAAATCTTCGCGCCTTCTTGTATTACGTATCTACCATGTGAGGTGCAAACCGAGCTAGTTCCGCGAATTGAGCTTCATACTCGGCAACAGTTTTATTTCCTTGTCTCAATGTTTCGAATTCGGTCACCTTCTTGTCTCGCATACTCTGGGGAAAATATTTGTCATAAAATAGCTCTAAAAATCTGTCCCATGTCAGCCCCTGATGCATTGTTCTTGTGAGCATCCACCATCTTCGCGCCTCATCTTCAAGAGTAAAAGCAGCAAGCTGCACCTTTTGGATTTCAGTACAAGGGAAAACTTCGAACAACTTTTCTATTCCCAATACCCATGCCTCAGCTTTCATTGGTTCGATTCCGCCTTTAAACACTAGCGGTTTCATCTTTTTAAATTCCTTTGTAAGTGTAATGATTCTATCTTCAGCATGGAACTCTTGTACTGCTGGTGGAGGTATTGGTGGTGGTGGCAGTCGTTCTTGTAGTTGTTGCTGTTGCTGTGGCTGTTGTTGTTGCTGTTGTCGACGTAAGGTCTCTGCCATTTCCATAATCATTCTCTCCATCCTGTCCAACCGAGCAGCCGTAGCACCTTCCTGCTCCTCTGTCCGTGTTCTCACCATGATCTACACAACAATCAAGTACAACATACACAAAAGAATGCAATAGACATTGGTCATCATCATTAACATTAGCAGAAAACATTTAACGTTGCTATCAATCTTCCTTTACTACATGATGCCTACAGATTTCTAGACATCCTAAAGCTCAATGGATCCGTGTGTGAGATAGCAACTCGTGCTCTGATACCACTTGTCACGCCCCTAACCCGCCCCTAAAGGTTTTGGGCATGACCTAATCAGAAACAGACACTTAACCTGCTATAAATGATATTCGGAGCCTGAATGGAAGCGTTTATAATAAAATAACATGCAGACACATCCATTGAGCGACTACCAAAATGCCAGGACCACGTCTCGAAATTAAACATAAAGTGAATATGCGCCCGGGATTAAGTTACATACACATTTACAAGTCCAATCCAGAGTTTGGGCATACAAAATATTAGATACAAACAACTGTGGCCAACAAAATATGGGTACAAAATGACTAAGACTAGCAAAACTGCCCTAGCATGCAAAGGGCTTCTCCAAGTGCCTGGTTGTCCTTAAGCTGACAAAAGATAGATAATGATGATGTAATGGGAAATGAAATGTGGAAAGGATTACATACATGATTTTGTTATGTTCTTGGCGGAAAGGTATTTGGACGAATAAGGCCTTGTTCGTGGCCGACAGGTCGTTCTGATATTTGGGCCAACAGGACGTCTGAAGTAAAACCAATTCAGACTCACTTTTTGTGTTATGCTTGTGTAAACAATTGGATATTAAACTACAAGTATTATTATCACTGAGCTTTGTCTCACTCTGTTTAATTTTATTTGATTCTGTAGGAAATCAGCTTGGCGGTCAAGTCT